TGGAGGTCGAATGTCCCCAGGAGCCTTTATAAATAAATAATAGTTTTAGTAGTCTCTCTATTAAATTTGATTATATGAAATTTTGTACCACATTTTCATAGCTACGTGTTTGTTTTGTATTCAACTGCATTTAACCTGTACATATTAAGTTAAAAGAGCAACGGCCTCTCAGATTTAAGTTGTCACGAACTCGGTCACTGGGTCAATGCGTTATTTAAGAATATTTAAAGTCAATTTAGACGATACAGTAAAATAATGTATACCATTGTTGAAATCTAGTGTGGATTTTTATGCAAATAGCAGTTTAGTTTTCTACTTTAAAAAATGTGGTAGGTGTAACAATAAAAAGACTTTTTTGTGTCAAAATAACTCGAAAAGTATATCGTAATTTTATAACTATACATAGTTAAAATTGGTTTTTCAAAAATAATACGATTAATAATAACAACGCAACTACTAACTATACCATGGTGTTCCTGTTACGTAGACTTCCTAATAAAGGAATTAATGAATAGTGCTGCGTATCTATAAAAGTTGATGACAGCCATAAACGGCATGAAGTGATACAACTTTGCTAAATTGAGTTTATATCACGCACTTTTGCCGACTTTTAGGGTTGGAGTGTATTTTTAAACGATTCCAGTAGTTTTTGTTTATTTATGTAGAAGAAATGTTCAAACATCATACATTTGAAACAACATTATGTGTTCAGACGTCGTTAAATCGAAGGTTGATTCTAGATAATAAATCACTGCTTAGAAACAAAAGGAAAATAGTTTGCATTGAAAATATCGATCGCTATACACTGACTTTCAATACGAGCACGATCAGTTATCTTTGGAATACATGAAAGGTTAGCAATCGATACTTTGATGGCTGTGGCTCCGCACCGTTTGCGATACAAAAGTCGCGTGATCACGTTTACATATCCATAGAAAACCATGTACTGGCGAATTTGCATTTAGTACATTGTAAAATTTTCGATACAAACCTTTGTATCACAGCATTGCAGCCATGCAGTCTTAAATTACATTAAAATTTTACGAGGCGAATGATCCGTCGATAAAACGAAAACAAAAGAAAAACGTCTACAATAAAGCACGAGTTAAAGAAACTTGTTCGGGATTTGTTACGTGATGTTTTGGCAAAGTTTTCTTGAGTAATTTCAGCGGCGCTATTACTGCCGCTTATCGCGATGAGCCTGTGTTTCAATTAATTCGTATTAGGGTTGTGAGAGCCTCTAAATGATTTAATTACTAGAAAATCTACTATGAATTTTGTCGAAATTTTACTTGCTAAAAACTTGTAAAAAAAGAGTTAAGTTGTTTGCAAAGTCAAAAATAGCTTACTCTGTTTCGTATTAACATAGCAGTTTATTATTTATAATTTACACACTCCAAATGTTTAACCTTTGGTATAGTTGCAATGGCAATATACAACCTGCTTTGCCGGTCGCCATAGAATATTTACATTTAAGTTGAGGTTAAAAAGTCACGAATAGTGATAACACGCACTTTACATTGCAAACGCACTTATGTGCGCTTAAAGTAGATGTAAAAACGTGCCTTAAAATTATAATTAGTTTTTTATACATATTGTTTAACTTGCCGAAATATAAACTAAACTAAGCTAGCTTCTTTTTAAGTTCTAACTTATTACCACTGGGATGCGATAACAAAGTGGTACAGTACATAAAACATAATTAAATGTAACTTACAAGAATATCTACATGTTTTTAAACGCATTTTCTCATCTGTATTTGGTTTTGAAACAAGTATCGGAAAAAATACAAGAAGAATATTCGCACCCGGGTGTCGAGTAACTTTCTACAACTATCGTTGAATGACTTTTCATAGTAATGTACAATTAAATAACATTTACGTTAAACAATTATTAGCATGTTAAAATCTCTATTAGAATATTATCAACATAAGACTATGTACATTGAGTGCAAGTGCTCTATATCAGTGCTCTCGTGTGTCACGAGGCTTACCCGGCTCACGTTGTTACTTGACACTTGATCCATATTCTTTTTCAACTACCGAAAAAAGTAATACGTAATCTTCAATCAGTAATACGCTTATACCATAATCTTCGTGGAGGCGCCGAGCTGTCGCCTGTTTGCGATATCTCCGCTACTATAAGGACAATAAATATTTTATTAGCTCCAAAGGCCTGTTATTAAACTTTGCAACAAAACTGCTCACGTGCGATACAAATGCGTGTAACGTGAAACAATTGCCGCGTACAAAGTGTCGTATTTTCGAACTACATTATTTCAATACGTGATTAGTTAAGTGATGGAACGGTTTTATACAATTTTCAAATTAGATCTTGAAATATCGAAACAAAAGAAGTACGTGGGTAAATCAAATATTGCGCACTTAACTTAACTACAAGCAGTGACATCGTATTCCACTTAATTTTGTGCATCATATGACTAGTTACGGACTAGCAAAAGTGCAAAAATAATAATTTGATTTCCCCCTTGCCCATATCCTAGAGTGTAGAAATATAGGAATGTATGTTTGAATTATTGGATTGAACTGATGATAAAATATTAGTGATTAGTTTAGTTATAATTGTACTAGGATAAACCAAGATCAATTTTTATTAAACCGTTACAGAAATTTGGAAGGATTGAAATATCCATGACGCGAGTTGAGGTAACAAAAAGTTTTACTCATCGGGGATTTGCATTGGTTTTTCATATTCTTATATATAGAACTTTGAAATAGAAATTCCAGTTATTTATTTAACACTAATACTTTCTAAAAACTACGTGTTCCTATAGTTACTTGAGGAAAACTATTAAGATACAATCTACACCTGTAACTACCAGGTTTATTTCACTTCAAGGTTAAAGACAGTAATCTTAGATTGTGTCATAGAAGTACTACTTAGTTTGTCTTCTGTCCCATATTGCATCCAGTTACGTTTAACCGTCATATTATTACGAAGATAAGAGAAGTCGAAAAACATCGACTACATATCAGATATTAATCAAAAAAGAAATTAAGAATACTTAGCAATTAACATATAAACGTAATCAAAAAATTCTAATCTGCACTTTTGTTTATATTTATATCTGTTATCGACTTTTTAAGTATTAGTGAAATATTGAAATGAATGTTATTAGGAAAAACCCAAGATTACTAATGCTACGTAACGATTTTATAAAGAGGGTAATAACATCACAAGCATTATTTCTGCCTTTTGACATTTGTTTGCTTACTTTAGTGACTACTTTATTATCTGGAAAATCGACTATTTTTAACTTAAATATTTTTAAAAAGGAAATATCGCTTATTTTTTTACATTGAGCAAAATTATAGATGTACAATAAATGTATTCATTTTTTTTTTATAACGCAAATTACGCCATTGTGAAATGCATTTAAACTTAATGCGCACTAACTTAGTGTTGAAGAGTGTATAATTTAATTATTGCTCTGTCAAGGTGTCTTCATGTTAAGACAGAAAAACAAATGACGTAACGGATTTCATTTCAAAATACTGGATTAAAAAGTATTCTTACAGAGATGTAATCGTGAGAGTACCACAAGCTTTACCATCTTGTCGACATAAAAAAAAACAGCTAAAACCTAGAACTTAAGTGGTTAGAATAGATGTACAAAATCTTTACGTACGATTCCTATTTTCATATTTCATTATAATTTAAACATATCAATAAAAAGATTCAGGTCAAGAAAGTGCTATCATTTTATCATTGATAAATTTTTATCTTGTTATCAAAAAACATATCCTTTGTTTTATGGTACATAATACTGAATTTAAAAAAAAAGAAAAGATCATCAAAAAGTATATCTTATAGATTAAATTTTATAATTGTAGCTCTCAAAGCAAAATAGTACTTAAATAGTATTAATTCAACGACTTTTAATTTTAAAAGTATTACTTTTATAAATACAAAACGCAAAAATACAATTCAAATAATAAGAAATTTTCATTTGTCTATTGGTAATTTTCCATTTCATTATTTATCAATTACAACAAATAAAATACAGAACAAACGGTAAGTTACAATGCAAGTTGCGTCATTTGTCAACTCGATGATAAATTATTACATGATTTTATTCAGAAATTGCACGTAATATAACAAAGAAGCATTATAGTTACCATAATTTACTCCGAAATATACACTAATGTACATAACAACCATTATTAACTTTATTTAGATCGACCTGTACGTTTTAAATTTGGAATCGATTTGAAATCTTTTGGAGGCAATCCAACCGATTAATAATGACTAATATAGCAGTAATAAATGTTAATATTATTCAAAGTATTAAATCAATGACGAAAAAGTATATTAACCTTCTTTGATATTGGCAAGTGACAAAAAGAAATATACAAAAATGATTGATATTTATTTGAATTTGGAATACTTTTTTTGTGAAACTGTTGGCCGTTTCGTGAAAGACACGATGGCAAGCGAACCGAGTCCTCACGCAACGGTGCTTGCCCCGGGCTCGTAACTTTGTACCCGTCGTGTTTCACTGAGTCACGGTTGCGAGTTCAACAAAAATGAAGACGAAAAAGACTTTTTTCTTTTTAGGAAAACCAAACTGTTACGATATACTTATGTGTACTTTTTCAATCTGACTTCGATCCAATTTTATTAATAAGAAATGTGATTTTTAATAATCGTATGTTAAACTGAATTAACACATTTCTGTTGCGTATCGATAACAGGAGATTTAATAACCTTATCCAAATCCATGCAATAACAGTTTGCAGGTTGCATACAACTTTTATATTATGGTGTACATATATAGATTTGGTTTTACAATGTGCACATCTCTCGGTTAAAATTATAATGGTCATTAATGAATCTGACAAAATATCTGTAAAATGCTCTTTATAAAACTATTTTTAATTTTTTTTTAATAAAACATCTCTAAAAAATTAATTAGCGTTTTATTTTTTTTTATTTCAAGAGAGAAATAATGTGTTTCTAGGAAATCATAATCGTAGGAGACTATTTGGCGTTCGAAATATGACAAGTCGTATTTATTGCGATACCATTGTAAACAACACAGTCTGTAGCAGTAGAAATTAAACAGCGACTCAGAGAAGCGGCAGCTGTCGTTTTACGTTGAATACGAAAACAGTAACTGCGTCAGTACGGGGAGACAACCGTCATCCAATAAAAACAAAACAATGCTTTTATTTAAACTCAATGATGAATCACTGAATTTCTTACTGTTTCAACTTCTAACGGTATCTACGTTTTTAATGGAGGACGTGGGAGGATAACTCAACAATAATTAATTTTGGAATGGAAACAACAAACACAACATAATTATTATATTCTTATGATGTTAGGATAGGGAGTTTTAACAGATGAAAATAAGACTTATTCTAGCAACGCGCACACGCGCACGGTACGCACAATAAATCCCGCTATAGACAATTAACTCTAATTGGTCATTTAAAAGTGCCAGTTTGCAGTGAGCGTCTATAGCAAGCTTCAACACATCGAATGACATAATATAAACGAGAATTCTACAACGTAAAGATGAAGGGTAGCCGTAGACAACTGCTATGCAATTTAGACATATCTGTGACGTCTTTACTGAATCATCCATCACGAGAAGGGATTTTTTTGTTTTGCGCGTATAATAAATCAAGTAATTACTGTTATTAATAGGTAAGCCTGTTCAAGAGCCAAACCATTTTGCCTGAAATGTATCTATTGCAAATATCAATGACATTTTCAATTGACTAGTTTTTTTAATTGTACGATCATCGTATAAAAGATTCTTCACTATTGTAATGTTACTGAAGTATAAGTTAGTAATTAATAGTAATTAATTTAAAAAGCACTAAGTTTATTATAAGTTGTAAGCTATTACCAATTTAGATATAAACTTATCATCGGTAATTTACTATCGTTTCATATTACAATATCGGGCACTATAATCTATGACAGTAATTAATTAAATAAAATTAATGATTGTGTTACTAACTGAATAAGAATACGACATATCTGATATTACACAAAACAGAGATAGAATCATAACTGACAAGCATGATCGATAAAATATTATAAAAGTAATTGTTTTTGTATGTTACTCGTTATTGACCAAAATTTTTAGCATAGATAATTAGATATTGTTCAGACTAAACATATTTGAAAAAGACTTCAATTAATGCGAATAGTTGAGTGTTCTCTTCAATGTTCAATAATGGTAATTTTCAAAAGAAACATAACAGGTTTTTGAAACAATATAAAAAAATTGTGAGGCATGCTGGTGACAAATTATTGTGACACACCCTACAATATGCCCTAAAACAGTTGACTCAAGGAAGGCTTTTAACGTCTGTTTACGCTTTCTCACCTTTATCTTGGACTCAAGGCTAAACGACCGTTTATGGTGACAAAGAGGAAATAAAAGCTAAAACGATTGCTCACATTAGTAAAGTGCTTTGTCGTAATGGTAATGGTTCAAGTTTGATAAAGTGATAAGGCGGTATCATCGCTTAATTATCGTCTGACATCATGTCTCCTACAATTGGTACGAAATATTTCTAAGAATCACTACGATTATTTGACCACCCTTAGTAAACCACGTCCGCCACAATAATTATCATGATTATGACGTCAATGTCATACTCACGTGATATAAAATTGTTTCTTGTTAGGACAAGTAACATAATTACTTAACAATAAACTGAGACAAAGAACTTAATAGTCACCTAAGTTACAATTTATTTTTAATTTGTATTTAACTTCAAAGTTAAACATTCGTTTAAGACAGTTAAAGTGTAATTATGAATTACATTTTAAACACGAACATGCAGGCTTTCAAATGAAAGACATTTTATTCGTTCGTTTGAAAAAAGTGGAAAAGAAAACTGAAAATGTTGACAGCTCAGTTTACATTTTTAATAGTTTTCGTTTTATCGTCAAGAAAGTCGGTTAGGTTTATACGTAGACGCAAGCCTATAGACTGTGTAGCGTTACGCACTGGCGTCATAGACCGACGTCGCGTCAGCGCTGGCCTGACGTCGGAACGCTCTTGCCAAATGTGATTCAGTGGGTATAAAACGTATCTGTAGACTGGAAGTGACACACTACGCGATCGTTCGTGAAACGTGTTGCTCGTGCGCACAACTAAGTTACAAGTTTAGTTGTCAAATGTTTGTAAACGGTGTTCAGGCTATCAGTTCACGTTTGGAAAACCTTAGTTTGGATTATCAAAGTAAGTGTTGTACTATTTTTAACAATTGAAAGTTCTATCGCGTTATTAAATTAAACATTCATTTGTTTAATTTGTGTATTTTCAATGCGATTTCAATTAAAATGAATCACGTTTTTAATTAAAACCTTTGGTATTATTTGCTGCAGTGATAGTAATAAAATTGATTAAGGTTTACAGATTTCATATGAATAAAGTGTAGTGAAATTCATTAACTTTCATAAACTCTTCTTATTGGATTAAAAATCGTTGCGACGAAACTATTCCCTTATATCCATCTCATATGTGTGTGTTTTATTTGTTTATAAATTAAACAGTTTGTTCCAGAATAACTATAACAATATCGTTTGATATTCATTAGACTGTTTCATGTCTAACATAATTGTCAGCCCACTCACTGTAACCGTTGATACATCATGAAGTTAAAAGAATTTGGACATTAAATCCATGCTTTAGAATGCATGCTATAATGCTAACCTAGATATAGTAAATAGGTAGAATTATTGGTCAGAAACTATTTTGTATAGCAGTAAATGAGATACTTTAGTGGGATACCCACTTTCCAATGAATGTTTACAACACAATTCTATATTTTTAAAAACATACTGAATAAACTAATAATTAATTTAATAGTTCATATTATATTAGAATATATGAGTACGTTGTATAAAATAGTAAATGTATAGTGAATAACAAGCATAAATCAAAGTAATTGATTCGTCCTTGTCAACACTGCGCACATATTCCGAGAGTGGGGCATCAATCAGCATTCAGTGGAGCATATCTCGATGGCTCTAACGAATATTGTCGTATCGTATAATAACCAATCCATCCATTTTTATCCACAAAGTAGGTTTCTTTAATTTGAACTGATAAATCATAATGATCACGACTACGTCAATCCCTGTGTCATGTGTCCTTTTGCGAATAATTTGACGCAAACGACGTAATGAAGAATTTAAATTTTTCATTTTTTTTATTCAGGAACCATGCAGCCTAAGTCAGAAAGACCGCCGGTGTGCCCCAAGACGCAGCTGCCTCATTTCCAAGTAACGCCGTCTGACGCCGGTCAGAAGAAAGATGGCAGTCCACAGGCGACAGAAAACCCTTGGCTATTGAAGCCTCAGCACGAAATACCAGCCACCCCACCTCCTCAGACGAAGCAAGCGGGCAACTTTTTCCAACAAAGAATAGGATAAATCGTGATCTCTCCTCATAGAAAGATGTTGAAATAACTTTCTTATGGCAATGTGCCATCTTGTCGGGACACGGACTATCGTATAAAAATATTTTACAAAAAGATAATACGTTGAACGTCGCATGTGAAACGGCAAGATTTAGTCGAATATCAGGAAGACGGTTGACTGTGAAGGATCAAGCAATTGTTTATTATTATGACTAACTTATATTAGTAAATAAGACTTTTAATAAATGTCCTAGACTCTAGTGATAGTTTTTCGGTAGCTATTAATAATAGTAGATAAAAAATATTAAAAAGTATAAAAGATTATTAAAAATAATGTAGACGCTGTGATATTTTAAAGTGAGAGTAATAATAATCACGTTTGCAAAATTTGTCAAAAATTGTTACTGAAATAAACTATATTTTAAAGGATTACTTTTTTTATTTATAAACACTACCATATAACTTGATATTAATTAAAATCACAACAAAAGTCGTACCTAATAACAATGCTCTGTAAAAACGATTGTAATCAGTGGTAAAATTCCATCAAAGGTGACATTAATTAACAAACCTGTAAGGTTTTTATCTCTGTTCATATGTGAATTATAAGAAAAGCCGCTAAATATCTACTATAAAACCTTGTCCGATTGCGTCAATAGAAAAAAGTGTGACGTAGGTTAGAAACATTAAATACCCGAGTATATATTTATACTTATGTGGAGCACCACTAATGTTTGCTTGTGATAAAAAGAAATTTATGAGTTTATTTACTAAAACATTCTAGATTCAGAATGTTTGTATTACCATAATAATAACAGTTTAGAGGTTATTTTAAGAGGCATAAAATTCACATGAACGTGTAAAATTTTAAAAGTGAAGACAAGAAAACATTATTTCTAATGAATTTAAGACGAAATAATTTTTAAAAACAAAAGAAGATTTTGTTTTTCTCTTTTCTGCCAAATAATTATTTTCTGAAATAATAGTAACGGTACAAACAATAGACTGTTGATATCATATCTGTTTTAGGTATGCATCAATGTTTCTAGTACAGAAAAATAATTTTGTAAATGATTTACATGTTATAACATAATTCAGATCTATAACAAAAAGACGAAGTAATCACAGTAATCAAATTTATGTTTATTTAGGCGGTTGTCGGGTTGAAGACAAGCATGACAATTAAATTATACGTCCATTGCTTTAATGTAAATGTAAAATGAATAAATCTGCTTGTAAACGTGAAAATGGAAACATACAGAATGTTGTTTGTTATGGCATAAATTATTTCTTTTTACTGTTGCAAATATGATTGACATTTACATTTATAATAAAAGAACCCTCATTTAAAGGTGATTGGAGGAAATGTTTGTGTTGAAAATTTCATGGCTTTTATAGTAAAGTTCTAATAATTATGACGTTGAAAATTACTAGAGACAGACAAACTATTTATGAATATCAGCATAGATAAAACGCAACATTTTTATTTTGTTAAAATAAAATTTAATGATCAAATGTACAGTTATATGTGACTGAACGAGGGCGGAACTGTCCTGAGCTCAAATTGGCGCAATGGGCGGCCCAGTTTGACTCACATCCAAATATAAAATAGCGGTAATTAGGTACAATGACTTTTCTCGAATGTAGCTCAATGTTGCCGGTGACAAAATTTATATTCCCTGAAATATTTTTATTAATCAACCGAACGTTTAAAAACATGAATTATTGTTGTTGCAAGCCTAATTTCCCAAATTGTTTACATCTTTAATCACATTAATGTAATATTACGGAAAAATATCAAACGTTTGCAAATATATCGTATTATTTCAGATTCGCAATAGATAAAAAGATTACAGAATTCGATTTTATGTATTTCACAATCGTATTGTAGTTTAACATTTACGTCAGCCGTAGAGTCTTGTCTATACCAACACTAATCCACCTAGATTACGGCCATCGTGGTCAAACAGGTCCTCGACATCACAGATTACTGTAAACTTAATCGATAAACAAACTAGGTGAATCATATTACGACTAACACAAGATTTACAAATCAATCTAAGGCAGAATGAAAAATGGAGTCGGTCAATACAAACAGGTTGCATTATAAGTGTTTGGAAATGATATCTACACTGATTATAATAATGATAAGCACTCCATACGATCGATGCTTCAAACGTAATTGTTTTATAATTGATATATTTGCCGGCTACGTAATGGCTATCGAACGTGACTACTAGAATATTCCGAGTGGAACGAAAGCGTTGCAATGACTTTTCTACTAATGTCCACTTACCTGGAGAGCTGCGTGAGACACTTGATCGATTTAAATATAGCTTTTGATGTGCAATATGATTTATTCGGAACAAGGGCTGGTCACCCGCTACCTCTAGCGCCGGCGGAACCGATGTGCCCTGACGTCGCGGCCTCTATCGGCGCCTGAACTACGTGAAGAGTACCTAATCTACCAGACACGGCATTCTCTAACATACTTCACATGAAAGCAAAGTCTAACTTGTGTAATGTTGTAAATATATTATACTAAATAATTTAATAATATGTACAACTAAGGCAAAGCTAACATTGTACAGTATTACTAATCGAATATAAAATAAAAATATAAAAAGCAAATCAAACAATCTTAAAGTGTTGCTACGGTACAGTTAAATCTTATTGGTAATACTGAAAGATATTATTTTCTTGAGAATTTAAAAAAAATCTTGAAATGTTTGTCTGTATATTCATAGTACTTGACGAGGGTGGATCCTGCGCCCTGAAAATGATGCGCGCGCAACCCAGCCGGGCAGTTCCTACAGAGGTACTCGTGTATTAGCCGTTTTGTGCCCACCTACTACGAGCTATGTATGTACTCATACCGTTACAGTGAAAGCATGATAGAAAACGCCAGAAAAACACTCATGCTAAAGAAATGATCAGGAATTTCACACTAAAAGACATAAGCAAAGAAGAACAATTTTTCCAGATGAAATATTACCCGTAATTACTCTTTGATTAACATCGAGATGAATTAAACCATTAATGTTAATTACTTACTGAATTATTACAAGTTTATTTAGACAATTAAATAATTAGATGACTCAATCTTAACGAAGATAAAATTTAAAGAATAATGTTCCAAACCTCTCGCGTCGATCGTTATACCTGTAAACAAAAAAACAATCATGAGCAAAAAAGTTATAAAAAAGTACACTTATCGGAATTAAATTGAATCCGGTCTTATAATTAGGACTTCTTGTACAGAATAACATATGATTAGTTAAATAACTAGGCGACCTTGATCCTCATGCAAATTTTGTGACGCGTATAAAGTACGTTTTCTCCACTGATCTAATCTACTTCTGGTATTTCCAAAATCTACAAACGTTGGCTTATATGTTTTTATGATGTCACGTGAAGGATTTTAACATCACAAGATCGGGCGCACACATCTAACTGAACTATCGCACAACTGTTGTACGATTGTCGATTGTTTCGCAGCCCAATCAACTGTTTAGTTAAACAACTAAAATCGAGTAGTGTCCACACCTCCATATAGGATGGAAAGCAAGACTGAACATTTATGGGATAGCTTAGTCAAAGGTGTTTGGGCGCTTTTAAAGATTAATATGTTTTGATTTTTGTGACTTGAAGTCTTTACGATTCTGGATCTAGGCCAGAATTAAAGTATCAGTAATGAAAATAATACGTTGTAATAAAGAAAGACCGCGTTTAAGATTAAAGCGATATGTCCTTGTTTTATCATTATCAATATTATCATGTTATCATTAAAAGTATAGATAATTTTAATTTGCAGGAAATACCTTTATTACAAACTAGCTGTTCCCGTGCGACTTCATCCGCATGAAATTGTGAGTTTTAATTTATTATTTACATTTGTCAAATTATCAATAGCAAATGTCAAAATGACATGACATGACAAACCTCGACAGTCTTGCTTTCTTGATGTTGGCAGTAACTTTGGTCTCTTTTCCACATTAGGGATTTTATTCAAAATATTTACCCCCTAAGTTTAATGGCGTGAAAATATATAGCCTAAAGCATGACGTAAGTGTAGGGCTTTTTATTAAAAAAAGAATTATTCAAAAATATGCTGTAATTGCTGACATCTTAGGCAACAAAGAAGAGTGTGTTTACGCTTTATTATAATAGTACAGATATAGATTGGGAAGATGGCACTGTTTTCAATCTAAATAGAAAAAGAAGAAGCTTAGTAACTATGAGATTTCTGTTTACATTAATGAGAAAAAGAAATGCAATTTTTTAACAATTTGTACTTCTACGCAAGGGATATTTTCACATATATTGTTGTTGTTAAACAGAATTAGTATTATGACCTAGTCATTGAGATATTGGCGATTGATGTTGACATAAAATAATAGAAAATATAGCACAAGTTGAATAATATCAGAATGACTACAGCGTTTAGACAAATTTAAACATTTATTTATAACTGTGATAATAAGAATCCATCGATTTTTCACGAACGCAAGCGCTAATAAAATACAAGTTGACAATTATTCAGGATTTTCCCACCAGCACTTACGCTAATTGAAACCATGACGTCAACTAAGAAAATGAAAAAACATTTGCGTCTCCAGCTTCTCCGAGTCTTAAAATCTGTGCATTGCCAGAATTATTCCCATAAGGCATATACCTAAATTATTGAGAATCTATTCAAAGACAATTATTGAACGTCAACAAAATTTCGCATAGATGTAGAGGATAGTCTGGAAATACACATAGGCTACTACTTTTGTTTGTTTTTTTTTTTAATTTTACGCGGACGAAGTCGCGGGCGTAAGCTAGTATGTAAATAATGCAATAACCAAAGACTGACTATTCTCTATACTATTAGACTATTTTAGTCAATCAACTAAAATAGTAATTTTGCTTGAGTTTAGCAATATTGGCGATATGATTGCGTGGGCTAGTATGATAAATTTGACAGAGCGCGCAACCGATAATCCACAACGTCCTTGGAGGTAACAAAGATGTAGGGAATCCACAAGTAAAGCAATTGAGGGATAAGTGAAAACAAAGATCTAAAACATACCAAAAACACAAAAATATAAAAAAAAAAAATAACTTGGAACATAGACTGATGAATTCTAGCTCGTTTTTTTTCTGAAATAAATTTTCAGTTATTATAATAAAAAGAACGTAATTTTAAATTGGTTGCAACATAATTCCTATATCGTATCATCTTGAAAAATACCAGTGTTGTAAGATAAAATGAGTTATCCGCAGAAAATACAACAAGGATGGAATCTATATAGTACAGTTTGTAACCAGGAAATGTTTTGCGAGTGCGTGTTTGGTTATTTGCGTGCCACGCACTGGAGCCTGCGCCCACCGGGGCACCCAGTTCTTATATTTTTATTTATTATTTATTTTTGTCAACTG